TCCCACATGTCTTTGCGCATATGAGACCTCAATTGGATGAACAGAGAATTAAGGCAAGTGATGGCAAGTTGCTTTGAGTCATTGTCATGAAGCTGCTGTCAGATCATAGGGGGGAATCAACAATGATCGACAATGTATGTGTGAATGTTGACTTATTTGTGTGTGAGGTTCAAGTGTTGTTTCGGCTGTTGGCTGGTCAGAACGCTTGTGAACCATCTGTCTCTAATAAGATGCTCAGTGTCAATGCTGATTAGTTGGATGGAGACCAAGCAAGTTTAATAGCAATGGATTTTCTGCTAACACAGGGTGGTGCTGGAGCAAATCTATAGTCACAACCTTTTGTACTGGAATTTCCTCTGCTTATTTGCCCCAAACACATTTCTGAATCTGTTTTGAATAATTCCCTTGGAGCTAAGAAATGATTTGCCATATCTATTTCCTTGAGTATTTGTATCCTTGGTCCCTCTGAGGCTCAGCCTTCATATGACTACTTTTGATTTTTAAAATGAGTAGAAAATGGTTAATTTAAGGTTTCTCCACACTTTTGTTGCACTGGAACTTAACAATTCGGGGTGCAGCAAAGCTGATCTATTTGCTTCTATTTCTGCATGTTGGCCAACTGCACCAGTACATGACACTTATTTACTTAGGCGATCCCTCATTGTCTGAGTAAGATTGTCCTCCAATTGCAGTGTCCTGGTGGTGGGTATTTAGGTGACTGTGAAGCACTATTTTTGACCTTCATGTTCTCCTACAGTGAGAGCATCGGGTTCCAGGTGGAAGATGGTCCTGGTCAGGGCTGGCATGACACACCTTCCTCTTGGCACATTTCTCTCTTTCGCCCTCTATTCGTGCCTTTTCAAATTCTACAGCACTGCTCATCAGAGCTGACCTCCAGCTAGAGAGCTCAAGGGCCAGAGCTTCCCAGTTCTCTGCATCCTTTAAAACTATGCCACAGTTTTAAAGGTTGGCTTGGAGCCCATCTTTAAATCTCTTTTCTTGTCCTCCAACATTCAGTTTTCCTTTCTTGAGTTCGGAGTAGAGTATCTGGTTTGGGAGACGGCGATCGGGCATTCAGACAACATGGCCGGTCCAGCTTCAATGCTGGTGGTCTTTGCTTCTTCCAGCATGCTGACATTTGTCCGTCTGTCTTCCCGAGAAATTGCAGGAATTTTTGGAGTCAACGCTGATGGAATCATTCCAGGAGTTGCATGTGACGTCTGTAGATAGACCATGTTTCGCAGGCATATAGCAGAGTTGGGAGGACAATAGCTTTATAAACAAGCACCTTGGTATCCGTACAGATGTCCCGGTCCTCAAATACTCTCTGCTTCATTCAGAAAAATGCTGCACTCACAGAGCTCAGGTGGTGTTGTATTTCAGTGTCAGTGTTGACTTTTGTGGAGAGGTGGGACCAGATCCTGTGATATAGGGCCTGTCTGGAAGGACCCTCAGGAAGAACCTTGCCTGGAGTTCTGTCAGTGTGGAGAATAAACTTTTACAAATTTTGAAGATCTTACAAGCCCTAGGCCGTATGGTGAGTGGTTAGGCATTATTAGAGAGGGAGTCTAAAACTCGGTACTGTGTCCACTGCTGATAAAGGTGAGCCAGATCAACCAATGGTTTCACTTGGGCATCTGGAGTAGAGGTGAGGAGTTCTGGTACCATTTAGGATTAACAGAGCAGTAAGAATGCTAAAAGGAAATGACGGTTTTTAAGGTGAGGAAAGTTCTAGAAGCCATGGATCTTACTACATTTGGCTCGGCAAATTTAGGTATTTGATCTTCTGCCTTATCTACAAATTTGGCGGTACCACTTGTCCATTTTGCCCACCAGGCATAACTAAGTTCCATCCCAATCTGCCAGACATGAGCCATAAAGTCCCAGACCCTCCAACATTTCAAATGTGAAAATTGGGACACATATAGCCAAGCTCCATCAGAGCGTGCTCAAGGTGGCAATAAATATAGATAAGAAATAACACATAGGCCGGAAGAGACTGCAGTGGTTTGCTTTTGCCTCAGTATACAATCTGAATTTTTTAAAAGAAAACAAAATAATAACAAATGAAATAATTGGCCTTATAAAGTCATCGCAACATTTTGCCTTTCATGGGATGGACCCAAAGATAGGCCAATTGACCCTGCCTAGTTGTAGGCAAAGGAAACTTTGAAGGTGGCTATTATATTATTTCCAGAAATGCCAAAAATGGATGGGAAAATGAGATCATAGCCCAAGGTGAGGAATTCAGAATGGATGTCATCAGTAATGTGGGAAAAGCCATGGGTGAATGTCAGGTCATGCACCGGCTGCCAAGAGACAAGAGCTGGTGTTTGACCTTTGTCCCAACCTTTGGTGACCTTCACATCACCAGCTGATGTCCAAGACTGGAAGATTAGGACCTCTTGAGAGGTTATTTTGGATTCAACAGGAATGCTTCCCCGCTTGATCTTGTCACCTGCTCTGTAGTGGTTGTTGAGGAGTTCCTGACATCCCGCCACCTCTGTGGTGTCAGAATGAAGAGCAGGTGCCAGCACTCTGAGGCACAGGGTGATGGGATCAGGGAGTGGAGCAGGAAGTGGGAGGTGTGCAATGGAAGAGGCCCCCAACATGTCTGCCTCCCTCCAGTGTTACTGGCGTAGAGCAACAAGGATTAGTGATGGAGCTGTGCCATATTAATCTGAGCTCCCAGCTGCAAATCCAATCTGAGCTCTCACCGCTCTGACCTTCAGCCTACGCTGCTGTCACCCAACCAGCTTGAGCAGCAACAGCTGTTTATACCGAGATCTTTTCTACAAAAACTGAGATGCACCCTGCTTGAGGGAGAAGACCAGATGCGTAGACTGGTGTTGACATAATCCCTCTCCTTCCTTTCCCCTCCTAGAGGTAGTTTGAAGACACTTGAGTCAAGTGGGAGATAGGCAGTTCATTACTTCTGGCAAATTCCCTTATGTCTTATTAAAATGAATTAAATCAGTTTGTAAAAGAAGCAGAGTCCTATTTGAAAAGGACCATAAATTAGTGGTGTAGCACTTGCTATGCATGCTGAGGAAGGTCGGTTTCACTCCTTTTTGGGCCCATCCAGACAGTCCCTTTACCTCTGGAGCTTCCACAGCAAACAGGAGGGCTGCCAGATGCCATTCCCTGTAAACCTGGAAGCAATTGCTCTAAAAGGCAAAAATTGCAAGATTTCTAGGTGCAGGAATATCACGGTTTCGAGCCAAATATCTGGATCTTCGCATGTCCATGCAATCAGAAATCACGGAATTTTTTATCTGGGTTTTAGATGCTTGTTCCTGATTGGTTGGTTCCTAAAAAGAAGGTGACACTTGAGTAGAAGGCAAAAACTTTGTGTGCCAGAAACTTCATGAAACGTGTGGAGGGCACATTTTCTCTGGCCAGGACAAAGTTGTGGCTCCTTAGTCAATGCTGTACATCTTTTCACAAGAAGAGCAATCAGGAACAGCCATGTATAGCCTAGGAACAGCACCCTGTTATTTGATGCCACAAGTACACAACCCAATCTGTCTGGACAAATGGCTAGGCAGCCAGGCTCTAAAAATAGTACATAATGAAAAAGTTCTATTTCTGGCTTAAAAGTGTGTGTTCCTGTTTCATTGTGTAGTGCTGACTTGGACAGAAGTAGTTCTACCCTGTAAACTTTGTTTGTGAGCCATAAACTTTATGAAACGTGTGGAGAGCAGTTTCTCTGGCCTACACATAGACCGGGACTTTTGCAGTGATCTGCATAACTGAACGTCCACATATCTGCATATCGTGGTTTTGGGTTTTTGGGTTTTTTTTAAAAAAGCCAGTTTCCGGCAGAAGTCCCACGGCGGCCATCTTGGGAGCCTCTAAATCTTGGAACAAAGCATCAAGTCTGGACAACAGAGGCAGAAATCCCTGGACCAACAGGTCTGTATGTGGACTTCTCCTGAACTCCCAGGATTTTTTGCCTCTCACTAAAACCCATGATTTAGTACTGTCTCCAGCCACCAGTGAGAAAGACCTCTGCTTGAGACTGGGCAGATTTTCAATGACATTGGAAACCAATGTTGTGGCCCTATAATTCCTTGGGGGGTGGGGTAAAATTATGTCTTACACATGCACACACCAGATTAGAAGTATACTTCTGGGTTTGTTTTTTAAAAGCAAAATGGTGTAGCTTTTTTTAAAAGCAAAATGGCACTGCAGCTTTTTTTAAAGTTGAATTGTTGCTCATGGAGCTTTCAGGTAAAGAGTTTTTAATCTTTCTCTGATTTTAACCATTTTAACAAAAATAACCATATCTGTGTCCATAAAGCCACAAAACCACACTTGGGCCATATATTGAATACATAATCCTTGAGTAGGTGAACGATCATGTAAAGATACCCTGCAAGACAATTTCATATTCAGGATATAATAAACCTGTTTCTAAATCTTCTTGCCTGCTTCTTCACTGTTCCTCCTACTTTTTAATTTCTAGAGTATATGGAAATACATGTATCTGACATGGCTTGTGGGAACTTCAATAATATTAGGTTCATATTTCAGAATATTGTGGCAGTTCCATAAAAAACTTTGACTGGAATATGGTTTGGGAGTTAGGGCTTTTCTACATTGTCCTTTATCCCAGGATCTGATCCCAGATTATCTGATTTAAATTGGAATATATCAGTATCCACTGCCAGATAACCTGGGATAAACAGATAATCTGGGATATTGTGGAAGTTTCCTTAGTGAGCCAGCAATATAGATAAGTATACATAAAGTTACGTAATGTATATGGTGATATAGGATTATGGCCTTTCTCAACCTGTGGGTCCCCAGGTGTTTTGGCCTACAACAGTTTACCAGCTGTTAGGATTTCTGGGAGTTGAAGGCCAAAACATCTGGGGACCCCTAAGTTGAGAACCACTGTTAAGCTGTGGTAGTGATGATTGTGCATTGCATACATTTTTCTTCATTGCACACTGTCAATTTTCCTTTTTTAAATGAACATAAGAAGGATGAAACCGTTTTAATTTAATTTCTTTTAATGAGAATACTTGCTTTGCAGCTGATACATGTTATGCAATGTATACATTTCTTCATAACGAAATATTACCTTATTAGAAATATTCTCAGCCCATGATAAAATTGCAATATTGTTTCTTGGTTGTTTTTTTAATCAAGCCTTTCCAGTTTTGTTTTGTTTTTGCTGCTGGAATTTGAGCCAGGGGTTTTTCATTTAGGCTTGACAAACACATTTCAGGGGGTTAAGATCATGTGCAGAAAATCGCCCATTTGGCATAAAATGTCTAGCCCTTGTAGCAAAAAAAGAAATACACACCACTAAAAATCTACAAAAACAAACCACCTTCATATCTAGAAGTTATAGACACCTCCTAATTCCTTGAAATTTCACCAAGATTTCACTGAACCCTGTTGCCTCTCATTCATTATAAAGCCCCATAGATAAGACATTCTTCGCCCAGACCCACATGAGGGAGATTTCCTTGATAGAGAAGTATCCCTCTCATTCTTGGACCTCTATACAATAATCATTTAGTTATAATCCATCAAGATTCAACCTGAACAGCCACAATGAGAATTCACATTACCCTATGGCAGGTGATATTCCAGCTCTTTAAAGACCAGTGGAACATCCAAATTTTTCCCAATCCAAATTTTTCCATGCTGTTCACATTTGTTCCCCACCTCCCCTATTTGTTCCTCTTTAAAACTCTTCAATAGCTTGGATTGTCAATGGTGGTGGGGAGAATCCTTCAGTTTGTACCAGGGCTGTCATTTTGGCCCAAATACTCAGAAGTGGCCTTTTCTTTTCTCAGTGGTTGAAGGGAGAAACACCACTACTTGTTCCAGAAAGCCTTTGCCAGTTGTGTTTTAGGAACAGGGTGGATGAAGTGCGAAAGCATTATTCTTGGCCAGCTGCCTGAGCTGCTCAACAATACAAGGTGTGATGATGGTGCTACCCCAACTCCTGTTGGCCCTCCACAGTTCAAATACTTCAGTCTTGTCACGTGGTGGTGGACATCTCATTCTCCAGGCTCACCCGCCTGCTGCCCTGCCTTTCTTCTTCCTCTTCTTCTTCACGACAGCAACTGAGCGCTACCTCGTTCTCATAGCAGAAAGAGGCACGAGCAGCTGTGGCACCTGCAGGAGGTGCCCTGTATTTGAGCTCGCTCAGCTCCTTAGCACTGCAAGTTGGGGTTCCGGGTACCTCGTATGTGCGATGGAAGTGCTCGTAGTCAATCTCATAGTGGCCACGCCGTTCAAAGAGTACAGGCTCAAAGCGGTGTCCCCAGCGCAGCTCATTGGGCAGGTAGGAGCTACGGCACTGTGTGGTCATTGCTGTGGCTTCCACCATACCTTCCAAAATGACCACCAGTTCAAAGTCAGCCTCAGCCAGATCTGAAGGACCATACCCATAAAGGGGGCTTTCAGCATCAATCTCATGTACAATTGTCACTGGTGACACCAGAAAGATGCGGTCAGTGCCACTGTCGAAGCCCACATTGACATCGTTGTGGTCCAGGGGAATATACTCACCCTCAGGGGTCACACGAGGCTGTAAAAGAAAAGGCAGAAGGGAGTTATAGATTGAACTGTACCTCTTTAATGGTCTACTACTGGATGATTGCTAATTTATAGTATAGTTCTGTGCAATCTCCTACACACAATATGGCGAAAATAAACCTGATGTACAAGTGACCTGGCTTCCTGTTTTTTCCACTTACTTGACCATCTTTCTTTCCAATCTTCCCTTTCTATCTCCACACACCACTTATTCATCCATTATAATTAACTGTAATAATTACCATGCCCATGTTTATTTCTCTTACTGTTTTAAGCCACACATGTTCATATTCTCCACATGTCTTTCTTTCCCTAACTTGATCAGAGGTAGGCAGCATGAATCTAGTCATTATTATCTGAATGATGTGTAGTAAATTGGCAAGGATTTCAGATTCTTGTTTGACAGCAAAAGCAACACAATTGCCTCCCTTTTCCCCACCTAATTCTACCGTACAAGGAGTGAATTCATATGTGGAAGGACTGTGTTTCGGTACTGTGTGCCCTTCGGCAAGTTGCACTCTCTCAGGAGAACATGGACAAACCCCCCGCTAAACACCTGCCAAGAACATCCTACATAGGTCAGAAGTGATTTGAGAGTCGAAACCACAACAAACTCAGAAGAAGTACCGAAGTTCTTATTTGCTGATTCTTTTGCATCTGGCTCTGATTGTGGTTTGACTAAAAGCCAAAATTAATCCTGCTGCAGTCATGAAACTGCCTGTTCCTGATCAAAGTCCATTTCACACCACACAATCATTGCACTATGATTCCACTTTAGACTCTACAAGTATCTCTTGTGGGATCCTGGGGTTAATCAACCAGACTTCTTTGGATAAAATTTCTAAATAACTCTCCCTAAACTGCAAATCCCAGGAGTCCATAAGAAGCTACTATTGCAGTTAAAATGGAGTCATAGTACTGTAATTGTGTCATGTGACGGGGCCTCTAGATTACAAGCCGTTCCTTCATCTTGCACCTATCTTTTCTCCCCTCTGTCTACCACTATAATGATTTGAGACATTCAGAAATATAATTAAACGAATTTCCAGAAATGGTTTGCTGCCATTCTACTTTTTTCTTGTTTGCAATCTTCCTACTGATTTTGCCTTTACCTTCAGCAGTTGTGCCCGGACATGGGCCTCTACCAGATGGCTCTTTCGCAGGTTGCCTACACGCCACATGAGGCAAAGTTTCCCATCACGCATGGCTACTACAGCAGTCTCACTAAAGATAAGGGTCGCATTGCGCTTCTTGGGTTTGGCAATCTTGGCCATGATTGCTCCAATAATGAAGGCATCAATGATGCATCCCAGTATGCACTGGAAAACCACAGCCACGACAGCAGAAGGGCACTCTTCTGTGACACTGCGAAAGCCATACCCAATAGACGTCTGGGTTTCCAGGGAGAAGAGGAAAGCAGCTGTGAAGCCAGTGACCTCTGAGAAGCAGGGCTTGGCATCCAGTGGTTGATCAGGTGCAATGTCCCCATGTAGAGCAGCAATGAGCCAGAAGAGGAAGCCAAAAATAAGCCAGGACAGGACAAAAGAGAGACAGAAGATGATTATCATCCAGCGCCAGCGGACGTCTATGCACGTAGTGAAGATGTCAAAGAGGAACCGCTGGCTCTTATCACAAACATTGATAAACTCGACATTGCAGTGGCCGTCTTTCTTCACAAAGCGGCTGCGCTGGCGGGCCACAGTGGTCTTGCCATTATGGCAGGTGGTAGGGGACTCCACCGATACCTCTTCTTGGAGCTCTCCCACACCGCCACCTCCACCTCCACTGAGACGGCGGATGGCTTTGGCCACCCCCATCTCGGAGGGATTCGCCTTTGTCCCGGCCAAGGCTAGGCCGGGCTTGGGGGATTGGTGGCCCAGCCTGTGTACTGTTCAGGAAAAGCTGGTTTAGTGGGCTGTCAGCAGGTGAGGATGCGGCACAGTGAAAACTTGTAACTTTGAAGCAACCTAGAGAAGGAAAACAGAAAGATCTGATAAAGACAGCAATCATCTCATGTATGATATGCAGCTCCTGAGGTCACATCTCTAGAATTTAAGTTTAGTTTTTGATAACAGCATGTTAACAAGCAAAGCAGAACTGGTTAACTCACTTGTGTTTTCTTAAAGACTTGATTCCCATCTTCATTTGATTTATGAGTTATTGCCTCAGAACAGAAGAACTTAAAGACTCTAAAGGCACCAGATTCCATCTGGTCTTGGAAGCTAAGCAACATTAGTCCTGGTTAGTACTTTGTTGGGAAACCACCGATGAATACCAGGTGCTGTAGTCTATATTTCAAAGGAAAAATTTGGCAAAATCACCCCGAGAATCCTTTGCTTAAGAAAACTCTGCAAGGCCCAGTTCAAACTGCATTGTATAGTTGGTGTAGACTCACAATGTAGATAGAATTGCACTGAACTGGATTATATGAGTCTACATCTATATATAGTCTGGTAGAATCTGCATTGAATGGTCTTGGTAATATCCACAGAGTGTTTCATCTGGCTTAGTCTAAGAAAGCTTATGCTACCAACTTTCTCAATCTCTAAGGTTCTTCAGGATCCTTTTGCATGGGGAGTATAGGCCAGAGAAGTGTGCTTCTGCTCAATCTGAATACAATTGGGATTTACTTCTAAGTAGACTTGAAGGCCTGAAGGCACCAGATTCCATTTGATCTTGGAAGTTCAGCAAGGTTATGCCTGGTTAGCATTTGAATGGAAAACTGTCAAGGAGTCCCAGGTTTATTGTTCTTGTGCCCCTTCACGTTGTTTCCAGCTTATGGGGACCCTAATCTGGTATGGATCTCATTGGCAATATTTATACATTGGCAATATTTGCCTTTGCCTTATTCTGAGACAGAGAAAGTGGTTTGTCCAAGAACATTCAGTGGATTTCCAGGGCTAAGCAGGGATTCAAACCCTGGTTTTCTGGTATCCTACTTTTTGTTTGGTCGTGTCAGGAGAATCCTGTTGTGAGAGAATTGGCCGTCTGCAAGGACATTGCCCAGGGGACGCCCGGATGATTTTGATGTTTTATCATCCTTGTGGGAGGCTTCTCTCATGTTCCCGCATGAGGAGCTGGAGCTGATAGAGGGAACTCATCCGCCTCTCCCCGGATTCGAACCTGCGACCTGTTGGTCTTCAGTCCTGCCGGCACAGGGCTTTAACCCACTGCGCCACCGGGGGCTCCTACTATAAAATCCAAACTACTATGCCACGGTAACTCTAATACCGAGAGATGTAGACTATGTTTCAGAAGGTGGCACCTCTAAGTATTCCTTGGATATGTAATCTGTGGGAACACCACAAGTCAATAGGAGACTTGAAGGCACCATTACAGAGAGACTTAGATTGCACTTCTGTACTTAGTTACCTGAGAGTAATCCCTACTGAACTCTTTGGGGCTTACCATGTAGAGCAGTGGTTCTCAACCTTCCTAATGCCATGACCCCTCAATACAGTTCCTTATGTTGTGGTGACCCCCCAACCATAAAATTATATTTGATGCTACTTCATAACTGTAATTTTGCTACTGTAATGAATCGTAATGTAAATATATGGTATGCAGGATGCATTTTCATTCACTGTCCCAAATTTGGCACAAATACCTGATATGCCCACATTTGAATACTGGTGGGGTTGCAGGGTGAGTGTGTGTGTGTGTGTGTGATTTTGTCATTTGGGAGTTGTAGTTGCTGGGATTTATAGTTAACCTACAATCAAAGAACATTCTGAACTCCACCATCGATGGAACTGAACCAAACTTGGCACACAGAACTCCCATGTCCAACAGAAAATACTGGAAGGGTTTGGCAGACATTGATTTTGAGTTTTTGAGTTGTAGTTTACCTACATTCCGAGAGCACTGTGGACTCAAACAATGATGGATCTGGATCAAACTTGATACAAGCACTCAATATCCCCAAATGTGAACACTGGTGTTTTGAGGGAGGGGGTGGTGTGGTGAGGAAGAGACTTGACATTTTGGAGTTTTAGTTGCTGGAATTTATAGTTCACTTAACAATCAAAGAGCATTCTGAACCCCACCGATGATAGAATTGAACCAAACTTCCAACACAGGAGCCCCATGACCAATAGAAAATACTGTGTTTTCTTATGGTCTGTGGTGACCCCTACGACACCCCATTCACGACTCCGCCCAATCCCCAGGTTGAGAAACACTGACATAGAGGATTGTGTTGTTAGGCAGGATCGCAATATTATTCTTCCCAATAATCCTTTCATTCAGTTGAGGAATATTAGAAGTTGCAGGTTGCAGAACAACTGCAAGATAACTGGTGACTTTCCATTATTTTGTCCCACAATGTTTCTTACTCTCTACGTTCTTTCTTTGCTCAGTGTTTGCTGGAACATTTTGCTGAAAATCAATGCTTGCTGGCTAGTTGGCCTTAACATTGATATTACACTCCCCCAAAAGAGCAACTTAATTTGTGAAATATTCCTCCTAACAGAGCAACATAATTCATGTAAATAATACAACTGCATTTCAGCACATTTGGAAACAAAAGCAAATATTCAGCAGACAGTACGACTTTATCAGAGCATCTCCATGCCAAGAAAGCTTCACATTTCTGGAGCTATTAATGACACAAGAGGTCAACCAGAAAATAAATCAAACAATCATAGCCACAGCCAGGGCTTGAAAAGTTAAAACACAATTGTTTCATTTCTAGCTATAGTGGCCAAACCGTAACTTATGACTTTTACTTATTACAGTGATGAAAACAAGTAACTACTTGAGTAATTTGTTGCAGAGCTCTTCCCTATTCTGTTTTTTTTAAGAAAAGCACTTTTTAGGATTGACATGAGAAAGACAACATTTGAATAAAGTATCTTTAAAATAAATCTTTGAAAGTAACCATAAACTGTTATTTATTGTCTCATTAAAGTAACTTTGCTTTTTTTGTTACACTATTTTAGAATTGTGTCTGTTATAACCTTTTTAACCTAAATAAATGTAAATAGTTGCAATTACTTCCAAACTCTGATTACACAATGTTGCCTTGTAACTTTAGAAAGCCTTTCTAGCATCTTCTCTGCTCCCTATATTTTTGTTTGGAAGATCTCCCAGAGAAACTATGTTTGCTGGTTTTTTCTCTAACATCCTGTAAGCACAAGATCCTGTCTGATCTAAGGCCCCTTCCACACAGCTGAATAAAATCCCACATTTTCTGCTTTGAACTGGAATATAAGGCAGTGTAGACTCAGATAACCCAGTTCAAAGCAGATATTTTGGGATTTTCTGCCTTGATATTCTGGGTTATATGACTGTGTGGAAGGGCCCCAAGTGGTATCAGCTCTGGTTAGTACTTGGATGAGAGACTGCCAACAGGTAATGTAAGTAATATAGGCTGTATTTCAGAGTGAGGAAATGGCAGAACCACCTCCGAGTATTCCTTGTCTCTGAAAACCATAAGAAATTCATGTAGCCACAATAACGGCCCTTCCACACAGACCTATATCCCAGAATATCAAGGCAGAAAATTCCACAATATTTGCTTTGAACTGGGTTATCTGAGTCCACACTAAGATAATGTGAGATTTTCTAACTTGATATTCTGGAATATAGGGCTGTGTGAAAGGATCCTGAGTCAATAGGGGACTTGAAGGCACACACACATATGTATATGTATTATGTGTATGCCTTTCATGCAAAAGCTGCTACAGAATTATGGCTGCAAGGGAGACATTGGGCTCTCAAAACAGCTTATTCCTCCTGAGTCTAACACAGGCATCAAATATTCAACTTACAAATGCCTCGAGACAACAGGAAGTGAGAGAAAACTATCCCTAGGAAGGGAAATTCATACCTGAAAGAGTTATCATGGGGAAACGGTATCTCCACTGAAGCTTTATCACCAATCCTTGTTTCCAAAACAAGCCATTTTTTTCAAAACCCAATTATCATCAGGACAGAAAGTGAGGTCAAATCTTCTGAACAGGGGTATAGACAGCAAAACAAACACCACAGGGGGTTTAACAGTTCCCTATGCTACCCAAAGCATATACAATATACATATATACATACACATGTGCACACACAGAGAGACACACATACTTGGCTGGAATTGTAGTTAAGGTATCTGTTCTGACTTACATACAAATTCACCTATAGAACCTATCCTGTTTGTAACTTGGGGACTATCCTGTACAATTGACTGGGGGGCAGATTAGTACATATGTTTGTATGCAGGATCAGTCCCTCTGTCAGCTCCAGCTCCCCATGTGGAGACATGAGAGAAGCCTCCCACAAGAATGGTAAAAACATCAAACATTTGGGCGTCCCCTGGGCAGTGTCCTTACAGATGGCCAAGTCTTGCACACCAGAAGTGACTTGCAGTATCTCAAGTCATTCCTGACACATACAAAAAAAGTCCCTTGTATCTGGAAAGAACTTCCTAAAGACCTGAAAAGATGCTAATATGCAAGTCTGTTGGACAATACCAGCAGTAAACCAATCTGCTCTGGCCTTTACTCCATACTTCAAAGCAGCTATTTCTGATGCTGAACATGACTACCCAAATAGCCTCAGAACTTTGGATAGCCCCTTTAAAGTTTGGACTAAAATCCAGATGGATTATCTACCCTGTTGACATCAGAGTTATCAGTTATCCCAAACAACACTGAGTTAGAAATGTCTCTCTATAGCAGTGGTCGTCAACCTGTGGGATGTTTTGGCCTTCAACTCCCAGAACTCTCAACAGCTAGTAAACTGGCTGGGATTTCTGGGAGTTGTAGGCCAAAATATCTGGGGACCCACAGGTTGAGAACCACTGCTCTATAGAAAAGGCCACTTCCTTTGATCCACTCTATCTCAGAAGGCCATGCATCACTATCTGCCTAGTAAATCCCATTTCCCTTTCAGAAGGTGTGCCATAAACTATAGAAAACATTCAAACCCAGGAAGGGAATTTTACCTGTTTTAAATTGTGAGTTTGTGATGTGGT